TAAATGTCGCCTCTAACGGCACGAGCGCTATTTTGCATGGAGTTATAAGAGTTGCAAGGATTTTTCGAACGTGCTGTGTGACCCTCTCTTTCTTTATTTTTCGAAGTAGCCCTATTTCTTGTGTTACCCATAAGCAATTACCTGGTCATTTAACTTCCGTAAGGAGGAGGTCATAGCGATGAATTCAGTGGATAGTTCGAGTTTTCAGAAAATGACAAGGAGTATCGTTTGGGAAAGAAACTGACAATGATGTGCATCGGTGAAGAGGGCGATGTCGCTCAGTTTGGTGACTGGACGAAACGAAATATAAGGCTGTACGCGATTAGAAACGGTTAGTGCAGTTTACCACTTGACCCCTCTGTTTGTTTGTTCATTATGGCTTACACACATTCAGGCTACGAACTGTGCCCCAAAAGTGCACATCACTGGATCCGTCGAGGGATTGCAGAGGCTCTGCGTACTGAAGACTACTATGCAGTCGACGTCCTTCTGGGAGGGTAAGTGCGCTAATTTGGTTCTTCTTCTTAGTTAATTTTAATTTCTTCTTAGTTAGTCTTAGTTCCTTGTCGTCTTTTTACATCAGTGGAAAAGCCTAACGGCGAAGGTAGGAAGGCTCACAGTTAGCCGTACTGGGAATTTCCTATTCAGGTACGACGATAAAGAAAATAAGGCCTTCCTCGGTTCAGTTGATTACCTTGGCAATGGGCTGGACGACCAGGTATGTTTTGCTCCCTAGGAATTTTTTCAAACTTGTATTTTCTTACACTGAACACTTCGAATTGCAGCCATATCTGTTCCGTGGCTTCTGCGGGCGTTTCTGCTATGCCATAATGGATCGTGAGTATAAAAAAAGTAAGTGAATTTCCATCATCACATGACTTCTTGTCACCTCAAAGTTATACTGCTGGCGGTGTGGTTCACTAGGACGGAAAGCGACTTTCGCGTTTCGCGCGCGATTCATTCTTCGCTGCAGGAACTCCAGGTCCACTCATGACCAGCGATGGACCTGAGGTTCCTGCAGCGAAAATGTCGCGCGCGAAAACGCGAAAAAGTGGCTTT